TTTACCTAAATGCGCTCTAGTTCAATTCTAAGTCGTACCCTATGCGTGCACTACCCGTCCCATACCTATAGTCCAGAAGGCATTGGACCTCTATTTAGGGTGGTTCAAGACTTAACTTCTCAAAATGATAAAATTATGAGACATACAAAATAAGTTGGACTTCAAGTGAAGGCAGTTAAGGGCTCAGATTAGCCTCCACACTTAGACAATAAATGCACGCAAAATAGGTTTTCATATTAGATAGTGGGCAGTTTCAGAATTAAAATCCTTAAGCCTTATAGATATGGTTTCTATAGATCTTGGATTCAAACATGCAGGCTGTTTCAGATGTAAGATACTATAGATATGATTTCCAAACAATTATATGGTTTAGGAGTATTTGGTGTTGCATGCTGATTAATGTGATTACAAGTTATAAATTAAACATATAGACATGATTTCTAAGTGATTTACGTAGTAAGGGACAGTGGAAACTATTGGAGATGCCCATAATTACTCATGCTTTCTAACAATGGCATAACTAAGCAATAAACAATGTTTGAAAAGTTCAGTGTTAACACTTTAGAGCGAGTAGTGATACCCTATAGGCAGGATTTCTAAAGGTTGGTGATTAGAACTGATTTTTTGTATTTAGCTCCTATAGGTATGTTTTCTAGGTGAACAATATGATACAATAGCAAATAAAATAATTAAAATCCTATAGGCATGATTTCTAGTGGATATGCTATAGTTATGCGAATTGAAAGAATGGTCATTGACATTTTTTTTGGTTTCCTATAGGCATGTTGTCTAGCAGTAAGCATAGGACTAAATAAAGCACTTTGATAACATATAAGGTGTGTGAGTGTGTGATTCTCCAAATGGTATTATTTCTACCAGTGCACATGGAAACTGAATAGCATATAGCAGGTTGGATAACAAGTAAATCATTGAATCCCATAGACATGTTTTCTACCCTTTATGCAAATATTGGAGTATACCCGTTTCCCCAATTTCAATAACACCCTAATTGTTATTATAAAGTTATTATAGACCCAAAAATAAATGTGATTACAAAATATTATACAAGCAATGACAATAGGCCCATAGCAGGCCCAAAATAGATACCCAGTATTGCCTGGGCCTTCAACAAAATTCTTTCTTCACCAGTTAGCATACCCAGAATCCAATAGGGAATTATGTCCATCAGCATACCAGGTTCAACACTTAGCAAGGAGCAAACACATTGGTAGAAAGCACATTGAGAGTTAGAGGAGAATCAAGTTCCCTGAGTTTACAAGATTAATATACAAAGGTGCATGATACCAAACAAGTCTGAGTAGGGCATTAACTTAGAAGGTTTAAAGCTTAAAGGTCCAAATCATGTTGAATATTCATCACAACACCAGAAAAATAGACTTGTCAATCTATCACTAGGACAAACAGTTTTAACCATTGTAAGGAAACACAGACTGAGGTAGCCACCCTAAAGGTCTCAAACAATTACTAGAGATGTAGAATTAAGCAAACAAAGACATGTTGAATGATAAAATAGCAGGGAAGCAAGTCACAATTAATAATAAAATTCTTAACACAGGTTATAGCACTCTATGTATGTGGAATTCATTATAGTGATTCAGAACAAATTAGTAAAGCATACTCATGCCCAATAGCAAATGTGAACATTCAGGCACCAACACATTAGCTAAACTAATTTTAACGAGTTTAAATTATTCAAATTAGGTATAAACATGTCTCAGAACTAGCAGCATTAGGTAAGATTACATGCTAAAAAAGTTCAAAACAAGTGCAAAGCTAACAAGGTTGCCCACAGAATAGCCCAGAAACACATTAGGTCATGAATTTTAGAGGTAAGATTATGCAAGTCATGAACATGTAAGAACAAAATTGTAAAACCCAAGTGACCTTCCAGTTTAACAAACAACAAGGAAGAACAAATTCCACAATGTTCTGAATATCAACAAAGAGCAAAACCCCAGAATCTTAATGAGTCAACATTTCCAAGGGCTTCATAGGAACATCTGACAGTGCTCGCATCAAGAAAAGGTTAAAAATCGAATCCTGATGGCCTTGGCTTTTAGCCGGCCAAGAATCAAGGTATAGAACAAGAGAATGAGAGAATAATAAAGTAATAGCTCCAATCTTTTGTGAAATATGGCGATTAAAAGGTCTATCTTAAAGGGGAATAGGGAGTGGTTTGTATAGTAGTAGAAATCCAGCAAACAAACAATGAAATATTGCAAAATCAATATAAATAAGGAAATAATATCATGCAGAATTAGTAAAAAGTCAGACTAGAGAAAGATTAGGTAAATCCTAGTTGATAGAAATCGGTAGTTAGCTAGAGATCTTGGCTAATAGGACCCATATAGCCTTGCCATGATGCATACGGATGAGATATCATCCAGATTTGAAGGGTGAAGCTAATCTCCCTTGATTCAGAGGTTTACACTTGCATAAATAGGGCAAGTACTTATGTAATACCATGGAGAAATACCCAGTAGCGGAGGAACACTAATATGGTAAGTAAATAAAGGGAGAATCCCATTGTTGAGGGGATTAGGGCAGAGGGTGGCGATTAGGGTTTCTGAGAAGAGGAGAAGAGAGGATTTAGGGATGGCCTTATAAAGGAAATGATGGGGTTTGGGCGGGTTTGGTTAATTAAAGAGGGAGAGTGAATGAGGGTCGTTGATCTTGGGAGATCAAAAACAACAACAACAACGGCCCAGTATAATACCACAAGTGGGGTCTGGGGAGGATAATATGTACGCAGACCTTACCCCTACCCCGAGGGGCAGAGAGGCTATTTCCAGGAGACCCTCGGCTCAAGAAAGCAAAATCTTGAGAGATCAACGGCTAGAATTTAAAATGAATAGGGCGGGTCATAAAACATGTACTGATCGGGTTTTATTAAAGGGTCGTTATGCTTTGGGCTAGGGGCTATTGGGCTAAGTTATTGGGCCATTTTTTGTCCGAAAATTGGTTTTAAAATTGGGTTGCTATTTAAATATGCCAAATTTATCAAAAAATAATTTATAAAAATGATTAATAAATAAGTAAAAATATTATTTATGCATTAAAATAATAATTTAGCATTATAAGAATATTAAATGCTATTTGACCCAAATAACAAAAATAAAAAAGCAATTATGTATGAGTATAGGCTATTACTGCAAAATTATGCAAATAGCTTTAAAAATGCTAATGTAATTATATAAAATGAAGTCAAAAATATTTGAAACATGTATTATAGGTGAAAGTAATAATTTTAGGTAACTAAGTCATCACAAAATAATTTGAAGGAGTAACTAATAACTATTCAAGTAATTTAAGTACAGGAAAATCAATTTAAAAGCTCTAAAAATTATGAAAATTATAAAAAAAATGCTCGTATAGATTTGTAAGCAAAATAATGATTCAAAACTGATGTTTTGAAAGTATATGTACTACTTGAGAAAATATGAGGACAAAATTGGGTATAAACAGCAATAAATGAAGTCCTAGTCCGAGTAGAACAAGGTACGCAATCTCCTATCTATTATGTTAGTCGAACCCTAGGTGAGGCCGAAACTAGATATCCTTATCACACCTCCTTTTTCCGGCACCCGCAGGGGCGCAGAGGGAGTTTTTCCAATTAAAGGACAATCGAAACGGGATTTGTTTATTTATTTCAGAGTCGCCACTTGGGAGATTTAAGGTGTCCCAAGTCACCAATTTAATCCCGAATCGAGGAAAATAATGACTCTATTTAACAGTCTGCGCACCAGAAATCCGGATAAGGAATTCTGTTAACCCGGGAGAAGGTGTTAGACATTCCCGAGTTCCGTGGTTCTAGCACGGTCGCTCAACTGTCATATTCGACTTGATTATCTGATTTTATACAATTATGAACTTATGTGCAAATTTTAACCCTTAGCCGCTTTTATTATTATTTATTTATTGTTATTATTTTACGGAGAATTGCAACATTGTGAAAATGTATTTCAAACCACGTCGCAATCAATGCACCCATGGTTATCGATACATTTCGACTCCGTTGAGATTTGGATTTGGGTTACATAAATGCACACACATAAATGCACACCCATGGTTATACATTTTACTAGGCGAGGCTCATCTCATTTATTTTAAGTGGACAAATCCTAAAGCGACTACATTTTTCTATTAAAATTAGTCTCTAAAATAAAGAAAGAAAATCCTAATTAATTACGAGCTTAAAAATAATAACACATAACATACTAATTGCTAGATTAAGACAAATATTAATAGAAAGGAATTTTACTAAAAATAAATAAAAAAATTCGAAATTGTAAAATTTTTACGAAGTTCGACAATTAAAAAAAATCAAAAGATCCTGGTTATAGCTAACTTAAAGCTTACATTGTTATAAAAAAAACTATTGAAATTAGTTATTCAAAACCATTTAAAACTATATTTAACCATAATTACTAAAGTTTATTAAACTTAAACGTTGATTCATCTTGCTCAAACTCGCACCTAATGGATTAATGCTCTTNAAAAAAAACTATTGAAATTAGTTATTCAAAACCATTTAAAACTAGATTTAACCATAATTACTAAAGCTTATTAAAAAGTTTATTAAACTTAAACGTTGACTCATCTTGCTCAAACTCGCACCTAATGGATTAATGCTCTTAGCCTTGCAACGTTGAATCACCCATTAAAACATCATTTCAGTTTTTTTTTCTTAAAAAATGAAAATATTTTGTAAAAAAATATTTTATTTTATTTTTTACAAATTTCTTTTTCAAGTTTTTTTTTCAAAAAAAAAACTGAATAAATAACGAAAAAAATAAAATAATAATAAAAAAAAACGAAAATATTTGTAAGCCTGCAGATTCTACAAAATTATTGGCCTATTATGTTTGCCTAATATTTGCGGGCCTTCGTTATTAACAACATTTAAAGATAGAAAGAAAACTCAAATTGCTTCTATGTCAAAATTTGCAAATTCAAATCTAGAGTTTACTAACCTTCCCTCAAATTAAGTCGGTTTCTCGTATTGAATATTTACTAACGATTTGAATGCGATTTTAAGCTAAAAAATTAACAAAGCCGAAACTAATACTTATGGTGTTCATACTGACACCCATCCACTAGTCCCGCAGTTTAATATTTCACATAATAAATACTTCTACCATTTACATAACATGAGACACATAATGAATATTTAACTAAAAATGCGAATATTCTATAATTAAAAAAAACTTAAATCTTCCGGCCATTTCATTTCATCTTCAATACATATGTTGAAATGATTCAGAGTAGTGTACCTGGTATTTGAATACAAAGAAAGGAAGAATAGGATCAGCAGCAGTAGCAACAGCGCGACAACAACAAACAATCAACAGTCAGAAAACCCAGTAGTAGACTTGAAAACCGAACAGAAATTCCAGCAACCACCCAATAAAGCAATAACAAAGGACCAACAGTTAACTCAAGAAACCAATTGAAAATCCCGGAAGCAAACAGTAGGCAGAAATCACACTCAGGAATATACGGAAAATAGTATTCAGATATTTTAGAAATCCTCTTCTTCAAGATTAAAAGTATGTTCTTATCTACTCTTTAGTTCTGAAATTTTGTATCTCTCCCAAAAAATTTTCCTCCCTATTAAGTGTCAAATGAGTCTCTTATATATCCAAGCAAGACCCAATCCTTCCACTATGTGCACCCTTTAACTTTTATTATTACTCACACTTTTACTTTAGTAAAAGTAGTCAACGTGGGCCCTCCGTATTCCCTCTTTTTGAAAAGTAGTCAAAGTGGGCCCCCATGTTCCCTCTTTTTGCAAAGTAGACATCATTACGCGCCTTTTCCTTTTTGCTTTTATCATTATGTCTGGTCCCCACCATAATTAAATAATCCGTAATTGGTTAATTCCCGTTTTACCCCTAAAACTACTGTTACGCCCCGATTCAAAATCTGTTTAACTTCAAAATTATCTAAGAACCTAAAATTAAATTACCAGCTATAACCAATCCTTAATCCAGTTCAATCAACGAATTCCAACTTAAACTATGAACAACGAATCAACAATCGGAATTATTTTGACTGAACGATATTTTTTAACAACACATATATTTGCATATTCAACAATATTAACAAACAAATATATTCAAATTAAACAAAATAAATGAACAGATTCAAATCACTAAAACTCAACTAATCAATTAATCTTCAAATTAAATCCAACAATATTATAACAAAGATTCATGATTCAAACAAAATCAAAAATTACAAACCAAAACATAAACTCACATTAATTCACTAGATTAAAACGAACTTCAAACAATCAATAAACACGAATTAAATCTAAATTAAACAACAAAGAACGGATTCAAGCGATTAAACTAACATATTTCTATATTACAACTTAATTCTTTTAAACGAATAAAATAAACCGAAGAAGAAATAATTGATTGAATTTCAACTTGAATCTAACCATATTAAAATTAAACTAACAATTTCTTTTACAAAAATAAATAAAAACACATGAAACAAACCAAAATAAGTAATTAAATTTCAATTGATTATAACAACATTAAAAATTAAACTAACAATTTCTTTTACAAAAACAAATAAAACACATGAAATAAACTGAAAAACAATTAATTAAATTTCAAATCGAATCTAACAACATTAAAATCAAACTAACAATTTCTTTTATAAATTAAACTAAAATTAAGCTAACAATTTCTTTTACATACTATCAATTTCAATTTGAATCTATCAACATTAAAATTAAACCAACAATTTTCTTTTTGAATCTCACAACATTAAAATTAAACTAACAATTTCTTTTACAAATTAAACTAAAATTAAGCTAACAAATTCTTTTACATACTAACAATTTCAACTTGAATTTAACAACATTAGAATTAAACTAACAATTTTCTTTTTGAATCTAACAACATTAAAATTAAACTAACAATTTCTTTTTACAAAAATAAATAAAAGCACATGAAATAAACTGAAAAACTAATTAATCAAAGTTCCATTTAAATCTGAAAATTAAATCAACAAAACATATGAACAAACTAGAAAATTAATTCAACAATAGACACGAACAAAATAAGAATCGAACATTTATCGATTTTAGATCCGAGAATATCAAAACAAAAATACGGGCAACATGAAACTCAAATCTACTAACCGGATCGAAGCGACGACGAACTCGAACGGAAAGTAGTTTGGTTGTTTGGAAGAGGACGAAGAAGGAAGCATGGCAGCAGCGCGAGAAATGGAGAAACGCAGCAACAACGTCGGAGAAGAAGAAGCAACAAACAGGTGACGATCTGAAGAAGAAGACAGTAGCAACGACGAGCGGAGAAGAAGAAACAACGGGCAGCAATACGACGAGATCTTGTGCTCGTTTGAAGAGCTTGGAGACGCAGCCATGACGGACAGCAGTGATGGGATCTTTTGGTCCTTTTGAAGAGCTGTATACGCAGCCATGGCTGGCAGCATGTGTCGAGGAAGAAGAAGCAAAGCAATGGACGCAGTGGCAAGATCTTGAAGACGCAACCATGGCGGACAAGAGAGGGAGATCGACGAGTTGTGTGTGTATGCGTCGCGTATGTGTGCATATATGTGTTGTGTGTGACGTGAGGGAGAAGGGGTGTGAGGGGTAGGGGCTTCCATGGGAGGATATTTGGAGAAGAAGGAGAGAAAGAGAGGAAGAAGAAGAGAGAGGGGGGGGTTGCGGGTAGTCTTAGGTTTTTCTTTTTTTTGGTTTATTTTTTTTTTGTTTTGTTTTGCTTTTTTATGAAAAATGAAAGAAAAAAATGAAAATGGGGTTTGGGTCTTTTTGGGTTATGGAATGGGTCGACCCAGTTCGAAATGGACTGGGTCGTTTGGGAAGATTGGGTCTCTTTGGGCCTATG